CAGCAGACAGTGAAAGCAGATCAAATGAAATGCACCTACCCTAAATGCACCTTTTTCCATCAACTCAACACACCATCCCAAGTGAGACAGCTCAAGTGCACGTGCACATGCTACAGACAACCAGGTGAAATTAATCTCATGTGCTACGTGTTCAAACCTTTACTCTGCAGGTTATGAAAAAGACAATCCAACTCAGTAACATTTTATATGGACACTCGCTTGTAAAACTCTCTTGCTAAGGATTTTAAAAAACATGTCAAGGCTAAAAGACAAAGGTTAATAGGTCAAGGCTAACCTACTGCAAGGTTAACTCCTCTTCTTGCCCCACATGATTCTCTCTCCATTCAAGTAACTACTACATATTTATTTCATGTTTACGTATGAAGTCCCAGTGCTGGTACGTGTATCAGAGAAACTAATTTTGTAGCAAGACTAAAAAGCTTAATTGGTTTCTATTTATTGACCCATAATATGAAATGCCTTAAAGGCAACAACAGTCAGTCATTGTTGCTTTGACTCCTGGAATAAGAAGTTCAGTTAATATATGTATAATACTCCTATTGCAGAAGTGGTACAGACTGTGCTGTCCTGCCAAGGACCTTAATCCAGGGAGGCTGTGATGACAAAGTATCTGCCACATCAGGACCAAAATAACCAAAGCTGATTAAGAAAGTGATCACTAACACAGCACTGATTAAACACTTACCATAAATTGAACTACATCTTCAGGCTTGTGCTTTGCTGATTTGAAGGCAGCCAGTCGGGTAACGACGACAATGTGATACTCTACGTGTCCAGACATCATCTTCCCACGGATTTCCTGGTATTCCGGCACTGACAAATCCAGCCCTGTGTGCATATTCTGAATTTGCCTGGGGAAGAAAATACATACAGCGTTCAGGCATTGGCAAAAAGACTTTTAACTGGGCCTCTCCAAGGATCCAACTCAAAGCTCAAGACAGTCAGTGGAAAGACTCCCATTTCAAGAGGACACGAGACAGACCCTACCCCACTGCTGCCCCTGCTCTGCAGCAACACAAATTTGGACATGGCCTGCTTCTTATATTCTGTCCCAAAGCACCTGCCACTGGCCACTGCAGACAAAATGACAGCAACATAGCATTTCTGGGAACAGAAGATGGGGTTCATTCAGAACAGGACTTGGATCACAGGAGCTGAAAGTGTTGTCCTACCCAGCGGGACAGATGAGGAGATCTCACGATCTCTGTTCACAGCTTGTTTTGAAGCAAAGGTCTGTTCACTACAATTCACGCCAAGCCCTATCCACCTCTCCTTTGTTTTAGGACATCCCCAGGAATGGCAGAGACAACAGCTGAAAGCAGCCACAAAAGGAAGAAGCTTGCTTGAGTGCAGGGACAACCTGAGGTTTGTAAGAGCCAACCAGGGAACTAGATCAAAGCCTGAAACACGAAGAGAAGTTGCTGGAGCAGACTGCTGGGCCAACCACACAGTTTTCTTCTGTGGAGGGCCACAGGAAAATTAGACAAACACCTATCAGCACTAAGCAAGTTAAAGGAGTTCATGATCTCTTGAAGCTGCCTTCTGGTCTTGACTGTCTGACTGACAGTCTTGTTACCAAACAGCAGAAAGGGTACACTAGCTAAACTATCGCAGCTTCCCCACAGAAAATCCCACTGGAAACAAAACCCCCTGTCCTTTCATAACCAGTTAAAGTAGACAAAGAATCACAGCGTTAACCTCTGAGAGCTGCCAACAGTCAGCACCGCCCACAGCTCCTCTCGGAGGAAAACACAAGGCAGCTGCTGCTGCAGTTTACTCGATGCATTTTCTTCTCCTGCCAGCTCCAGGTCCACTGAACCATGGCATCACCTTCCCCCTGGATTCCCACCCAAGGAATTATGCCATTTTTGCAAGAGGAATGTCAGGATCATCTTGCAGTGCTCATGCATCAAACGTAAGACTGAGCAGCAGCTGTTGGGGGCACAACAGAATGGTACATTTAATGAAACAGTCTGTTTCGATAGACTGGAGACCACAACTGATCAGTGATCCTGTCCTCAAAGTCACCCCATGCCAAGCCACAGCACCTTCATTGCTGCTGTCGCTGGAACCAAGCACTCTGCCAGCATCAGAAAGAAGCTGATCATCCAGAGCACTGAATACTCTCTGAACACATCTCCGACTGTGTCCTTCCTATGTATTTTTTAATGAAATCAGAAGGGACTATTTAAAAAAAACAAGTTTTCTTTTCATTAAACATTTTTTTTGCTTTTTTTTTAAACCTTAGCTGCCTGAGGAATGTCAAGTCACATCTTCCCTGGACTTCCTGTGGATTGCAGAGGTGTCTTGTGGGATTCTTTCTTTAGGAAGTTTAGGCTCATTAATGCAGGTGCCCTTTCACCTAAGGATACATGAAGTATACAAACTTCAAATACACTTTAAAGAGGTTTAAACAATCTAGTTTCAAACAAAGTTTCAAAAGACTCCTCTCATCATGTCAAAACTTGACCAGTTCTTTTGAAACTGGAGTTTTCCCAAGAAGGCAACCTCTGAATCTCCAAGGCAAAGTGGAATTAAAAGCTTTTTAAAGAGAGTATCTCGAGAGTTCTCTGTAAAATCGGATAGCAACAAACAAGGGCACAGGCCCAATTTTGTACCCGGTCCTCTTTGCAAGCCGTGTTTAAAACATTAGGACTTTAACAACAGCTCTACTGTCACCAAGACTTTATACTAGGTACCTAAACACCATTCTGTTTGCTCCAATTTTGTTCTCATTTTCTGCCAGTCAAGGATTTGACTTTACACTAACAGACAAAATTTTGTTCTCAGTTACACGTTGTTGGGCTGCAAACACAGAATCAACAGCGCTTATGTATAAATACATAGATGCCTGGCTTTCACATAGCAGTCTGTCAAACCCCTAAGTCAGTCATTATCTGGAGCGTTGTCTCCTGCAGTGACAGCCAAAATGCTGACTCAGAGGACACCTGCCAGTAAAATCAGCTGGATCCGGGTTTTTTAGGATATACCTGCAGCAGAGGAAACGCCGTCCAGATATGTAGTCACTCAAAAGTTGTGACTGCAGCTGTGACAGCGAACAGGTCTGTCGGCTGCTACTCTGGAGCGACTTATTTCTGTTAACACAGCCACAGACAGAGTCTAAACGACAAAATAACCTGGTTTTCACCCCTGATGTAAACAAAAACCACCAGTAAACCATCCTTCCTGAATGGCCTTATTTAGCTTAAAACATCAACCACATACAGATATACTGAGATGACACAACAACAACTTCACTGTAAGAGCTGCTGCATCAAAGAGTTCTAAAAATGTCATGAAGTTAGTAAGTACCTTGCCTGCACCCAGGGTTTTTATTTTAAAGTTGTTAAAAGTCTCAGTTAAAACGACTGTAATGGAAAGTGATTAGAGGGAGAGGGAATAGCTGCAATTTTTTTGTTTGCTTTACACCTTGAGATCAGTTTCATTATCATCTCTTACACAAACCTGCCACTATTATCTCTTCCATAGCAACAGGATTGTGTGTTTTTTAAATATAAAAATGATTCTAAACAAACAGAAATCAGCAGGGAAGCTGAGATAGACATGGCATAATATCCAAAGCGTACAGTAGCTCTTGTAATGCCTTGGTTTCAAAATAAGCAGCCTCCTATGTTTTAATTCATTTGATGCTGTTTTTGTTATTCAAACAGAAGCAGCACCTACAAATCCCAAGACAGAATACAGTTTCATTGCATTTTTCCACATCAAACACGATTATTTTTACACTAGCAGCTTTAAAAAAGAACGAGAAGAAAGCTGGCTGTTTAAATTGCACATGCAGGTTTATTGCTTCTACTCTTCACTTAAATCTAGCTCGTGTATCTCTAAGTTACGCTTTTGTCTACAATGAAGCCGGTTAACGGGAGGCTTGGGCACAGGGTTAACACGACTCACTTCACCTGAACACAGGACAACCATTCATGCCAGTAATGCTATGTTTACACAATCAGATCACCTAGGATCACCCAGGATCAGCGTGGGACAGAGGAAGGGGAGACTACATAAAGGTCAGCTGAACAGAGCCGTTTCCACAGTTCACGGAAGAGCCACGTTTTTTAACTCTGCCTTTTGATTTGCTGTAATGTAAAGGCTTTGTACTTTAATTAATCTGCTTCCTGCGCTGAAAGGCCAAGATGGGAGAGGGGGGAAAGCAGCCATTGCAAGCAAGCAAGCAAAATAGGGGATGTAAGTGCTGTGGCCAGAGAAACTTTATTCCAGTGTCTGTGTGGTCAGCAGAGCGGACTCTGGACTTTTCGCCCTGATAAAGTCAGCCCTACCAGCAGCACCCAGTTCCAGCAACCTCTGCCCAACGGTGACCAAACTGTGACGACTCAGCTCACAGTAAAAGCAGAAATGACTTGTACAACTGTTTATTCATTAATTGAAAGCAAAATATCAGCCACAAACTAGCCAGCAAATGTTTTTATTTCTCTGTAGAGTCTAACTCCAAGTATATAAGTTATTATTTATTTGTATTACCACAGCAACTAGGAATCCTATTCCCAACACCAGTACATATAAAGGGTGAAAAAGGTCACTGCTACACAGCTATCTTATCCCACAAGCTAGAAAATACATTCACTTGCTAAAGCCTTAATCCGACCTGTACAAATACATCCAATTTTATCACTGACAGCATTCCAGTATCAGTGGAACAATTCACAAACAGTAAAGTCTCTTGACTGTAAAATAAATCTAGGTGTTCACATTTCCACTTCCAAGGCTAAACCTAATATAAAGTCAGTCCTACAAAACACGTGAGTTAAGTCAGACACATTTGAAGGTTCAAGGCCATCGCTCCAAAGGAAGTCAGGCCCTGATACAGCCAAATATTTAAGGATTAAAATAATGCCTTCGAAGTTAATGTGATTTAAATAGTTGCTACTTATGTCCTAGGCTGTAGGTACGAGAGTCGGGACCTTGCTGAATCAACACTTCTCTTTCTCCTGTCACATCTGATAGGCAACTGCTTTCATGTGGTCTCAAATATCTTGCAGGGGTAAAAAAAAAAGAGAGAAATACCTCTATCATTTCTCTGTAAAGATTGCCACAAGTGTTTTCTTCTTGAGGCATTTCTCTTGAGGGTGCGTTTGCCCTGTCTAGGAAAACGCAGGTTTTAAATATCTAATTCAACTAAAAACGGCACCTCTGCACCCACCTAGGGCATGGTTTCAAGAAGGTGGGGAAACTGAATAAACTTCTTTTGCCCATCCCCGGCCTAGCTTCCAGCCAGCCGAGCTCCCCACCGCCCAGGGCAC